TGCAGTGCTTCAGCCATCATCAACTTGTCAATGGTTTCGATTGTTGACAGTTTGTTGTCAACGCTTCACAAATCAGCCAATCGTATTTTGCGTTGTGAGGCCAACGCTTAATTCATTGGCTCTGGCTAAGCGGGCAGTCTCTCTTTTTTCTTCTCGGGCTGCCGCCCTCGTTTCGCGCGTCTTGCGGCTTCGCCGCTCCAGCGCGCGTGCATTGCTCTCACTAAATCTGAAGAAAAAGAGAGACTGCTCGCATTCTAGACACTAATCATCAACTTGACACTTGGACTCTTGCACTCCAGGAACCTCTTGTTTTGAAAGTCTATAATCAAGTCAAAGTTTAAAATTTACCAACGTCGCCGAGTTACAAGGCCGATTCGATTTCATTGACTAAGAGTTCTTCTGTAGCGTGCGCTCATTTCCCACTACCATGCTAGTAAATAAGGGGTTTTAAAAAGTTAAACGGCGTACGTATTTAAATTCAAAATGGCCGCCGGAAAACAAAGAACGCATATATATCTTTTGTCTCGAGATTGTTTATTAAGGTCGTCTTTTATTCATTTTTAAACCAATGGGTTAATTTTAAAGATGCCAATATGCGAATATCTCTTAAGAAACAATTTCTGGGATTAATGTGCGAAAAAATGGCGAGAAAAATCTCCTGGTTTCGTTATACCCAGTCAGGCAACTATTATGATGGGAAAGCGTTACTAGTTTACTTTATTACCACCTGTATTTGATCAGGGTTGAGTTATAATTGTATGCTTTCCTTTGTTATCTCGGTTTTGGTCCGGTGAGTTTCAGTTATATTAGAGAATATTATTTTGGGATTTCAGCTTAGCAGAAAACTTGTAAAAACATAGTGTGCATCGTAGGCGTGAGCGTCAGGCGGTGAAAGAGTCTGTTGTTGTGAAGTTTTCGACAAGTAGCTTTTTCTCGCAACAGGATCGGTCTGCTTATTGCGTCTTTCTCTTTGGCTATTGTTGGAGACAGAAACAAGTCCAAATAATTCGGACTTTTTTTAACGATGTTCGTCGAAGCTGTCGGGCTGTTCTTCTTCCTCGCGGCCATTTATGTGGCGTCCACAATTTGGCAAAACCGCCATCTTCCCCCGGGACCGTTTCCGCTTCCAGTGCTGGGAAACTTGCTGTCGATTAGCCTAGATCAGCCGTATCGTGATTTTGCGAACATGGCGCGGACGTACGGGAAGCTTTTCCGTGTGCAGATGGGAAGCACAAAAGTGATTGTCATCAACAGCTACGAAATCGCCAAAGAAGCGCTTGTGACAAAAGCAAAAGATTTCGCTGGGCGACCTCCTCATTTCTTTGGAGCAATTTTTGGCCGAGATAACACTGACATTGCATTTCAATCTTACTCTCCTCGATGGAAATTGCAACACAAAATCGCCATGACAGCGATGCGTATGACCGAAGACAAAGCTAATATTCCTTTCTATATTGAAGAGCTGTGTGGGGCGTTTTGTTTGCACGATGGAAAGCCATTCAACCCTCGAGATTCTATTTACAAATCCATAGGAGGCTGTGTTTCATCGTTGATTTTTGGCGATTATAAATGCAATGACTGGGAATTAAACGCGCTATTACAAGCTATCCATGTGTTTAATCTCTCAATCGGGGCAGCTAATTTCATTAATACATTTCCAGTTTTCAAGTACATCCCTTTCCGCAGCATCGAGAATGCAAAGGATTCTGCAAAAATTCGAGATCAAATTTTCGTGAGGAAATTTCAAGAACAAGCTTCTACTTCGAACACGAAAAATTTTAGCTCGGTGATTGAAGCTATGTACAAGGAATTCAGAGAAATTGGCTGCGATGGACTCACAGAAAATAATTTAATTTCAAGGTAAGCGCAACTCAAGTCCTATAGTCAGAATATATTACCAGGGCGACTTAAAAAAATTTTTCGGCTTTTGAGTAAACACTTATTCTTGGTTCGCAACCACGTGACAAGGCGGTCATGTTTTTGGTCAAGACAGGACAATTTTTTCTCAAAGAATTTACATGAAAATAGAGTTTAGTTCCCAGAGGAGAGAAATGCTTTTGCTCTTGACCGCCAACATGGCCGCCTTGACGTCACGTGCAAACTAGCAATTGGACTGTTTACAGTCCTCTATTATTCCGTAAGATAGTCGAGATCGAGCGCTTTGCGTTACGGGCTGCCATCTTGCGTGAGTGTCAAAACTACTTAGGGGTTGGGGGTGGTTTAGAGCTATAGTCCCTGACGCCCGCTCCCTCGGTACATTCGAAAACCAAGATGGCCGCCATGAACAGTGAGACGCGCTTTATCTCGACGATCTCACAAAAAATAGGGGACTGTGACAGTGATTCGCGCTTACGTAGCGAAGCGTTACTTAAATTTGAAGGCTACAACGATGTACAGATAACCACTTTATTTCTGAACTGGTTGCCAACGGTAACTTAATCGGCAACAGTCAAACTGCAAAGCAAATGAAAGATTTGCGTTTTAAGTATGAAATTGCACTTAAAGGCTGAAATATTCGCAGCGAAATGCTACTTACAATTCTGTTGGGTAATCCACACATCTTAACACGGCTCTTTACATTATCTTTCAACGGTTGTGTCCGGTTGATTGCAAGGCGAGTCTAATTAAAAATACATTACGCCTATCTTATACAAAAATGCTAATTCGTCGCCAGGTCCTTCGGGACTGCATTTTGGCGCCAAATCGGTACAGCTACACAAGCGCAAATCAGACAGTCTAACCAGCAATAGACCTCTCTAGCTTGACTCTTTGTCTTATGCGTACATATGCACGTGAAGAAGACGAAATTTGAAAGAAACATTTCTCTGAAGTATTATCACATGACCTGTATTGGGGAAACAAAACATACAAGCTAAAGAGGTCTATTCACTTGCCTCCCACACAGACATTCTTAGGACTTCGTCAGACGTTCCTTGAGGAGGATTGCGTGACGGGCAAAACAACCGGAAGTAAAATATTTTGGGTGCATGAAAGTGGGAACTAGGGTGGGTTTAGATTCCCGACCCAATTGCCCGATACCCTAACTAAGCAGAGTATCGACTCCCCGCTGGTTATAGCCTGCGTAGCTGGTGGTTTGTTTTGTGAGAGGAAAAAACGAGAAAACGACGAGGGCTTTTTTGCACGCTCGGAAAAAAGTAAAAATGACGCCAGCTGGGCTAGCCTGCAAATTTCCGGTCGTCTCGTCTCTTCACCAAAGAGAAGCTCACTCAATCGGGTAGAGAGAAGCGACGACCGGAAATACGTCTGCGTTCGCGGGCTAGAGCTGCGCAGGCTCCACTGGTTGGTCCTGATTCGTCGGTCCATCATATTTTCCCATGATATACAACACTCTGCAGTATATTCGCTAACCGTTTGGTCCTCTTTTGTTTCTTTTGGTTACTCGAATTTGCAACAGAATTTTAGCAGAGCAAACACAAAATGTCCCACTAAAAAAAGGGTAAAAAAAAGAAAGAAAGAAAGAAAGAAAGAAAAGAAACGCGCGAAGGTCCAAATATTTTTAAAAACAACGACTTAACTTACTTACCAATTAAAAAAAAAATGAGTCAGTGATGAACTAGCCACACATTCGTCAAAACTCAAATTGTCCATCGAAATCAGGTTAAGCTCTCGATTTCCGAACTTTGCACCTTGTGGCGTGTGTTCTTTCTCGGCTGCAGCCGGTACGGCAGTTTTCATTTTATTTTCAGTAAAATAGACATTGCAAATCCATATAAATAAAATTTCAGGAGCAAAACTTTAAAAAAAAATTGCAATTAAAAGGTTCAGTAATCACTGAAGAACGTTTCTCAATAAAAGTTACGCTAATTTTCTGATAATGAATTGCGTCAAATCCAAGAGAAATGGGGCTAAGTTTGAGTTAGCGGTGAGTTCGAGTTACCGGGGGTTCTACCATGTCTACTGTAGCAAAAACCAAGGGATCGGTGGGGGGTTCTAAACACCCCTACCCCACCTATTCCACGGTGGGGGTATGAATCTGTACCTCCGAGAGTTTATAAACTTTAAATTAATTAAGACTGACTATCCCATTTTCTTGTAGCGCCTCTGACTTGTTCTCTGCCGGAACGGAGACCCCTTCAACTGAAATTCTCTGGAGTCTGCTTTATGCCATAAAGTACCCGGATGTGCAGGCTAGGTTGCATCGCGAGTTGGACGATGTGATTGGTCCCGAACGATTGCCAGAGTTATCAGACAGGCCAAACTTGCCTTATTTGGACGCGTTCTTAACTGAGATGGTACGCATTGTAAGCGAGACCCCCCTGGCGATTCCTCACTCGACCACGCGGGACACGACCCTTGCGGGATTTTTCATCCCGCGTGATGTTACTGTGTTTGTTAATCTCTGGGCTATTCATCACGACATTGAATACTGGGTAGAACCGTTCACTTTTCGACCGGAGCGTTTCTTGAACGAAGATAGACAACTTCGAGTAGATGGAATGTTGCCCTTCTCAACTGGAATACGCACGTGCCCTGGAGAAAAGTTTGGCAAGAAAGTAGTTTTCTTATTTGTAGCAAGATTGTTTCACAAGTTTAAATTTGAGTGTCCGAAAGGTGAAGAATTACCAGCCGAAGAAGATAGTGATCTTGGAATTCTGCGTAATTGTAAACCGTTTAAAATCTGTGCCGTCGCGAGAAATTAAAAATATATGTCTTTGTATTGGGACAAGATGGAGAATTTCTCGCCTATTTTCTTTTCTTTTTGGAGGGATGGAATTTGACATGTTATTCTTTCTCCAATACGGTGGATTGTTCCACATTGGACAAGCGAAATATCAGCACAACCCGTTGGTGTAAAAAGTCCGGATCCATGCCTTGAGATAAGGCGGGGGAAGGGGCTGGGGCCGGTCGTCCAGAGCCCGAGATAAGGGAGGGCCGGTCTCCAAAAAAAGTTTTTCGGCCCTTCGGACCTCAGTTTGGTCTAAAAATATGGGGGTGGGGGTGGGGGTGGGGGGGGGGATGGGGGGGTGGGCCCCTCCCCTGGATTTGCCACTGGGTGTAAAAAAGGGACGTTAGAGTTACGTTTACGGCAAACGCAAACGTGAATTTGTACCACGTGACCAAGTTTCCCTCTTCCTTTACCGTTAATTACTTCTACCAAAAAGATAGATTTGGCGGTAAATTGAAGCCACCGTAATGTATTTCTTCTATTGAATACAAAAGATCGATCTCAGATTTCAGTTGCAACAACTGCAACAAGAACAGAAGGTGGTTGGCCTGTGGTATGACTAATTGCGTAGCGCCACACACCATGAGAGCTAGTTGTTTCTTCTTCGCGATTCATCGTCACAATCACCCTCAATTTGCCTTGTAGCTCAGTCGGCAGAGCAACGGTAAATTCCCTGGCACCCAGAAGTCATGGGTTCCATTCCTAGCGCGACCACTTTTTAGGATGACGGTTTTAGAATTTTCCATTGTTTTTAACCTCTTTTTAGCGAGCATCTGATACAATGGTCTGATCTTTGTCTTCGCTGTCTGTAATACGCTACTTAGAGTATGGAAGAAATTTTAGAAACTACTTGGACGATTTTCATATATTATACCCTTATGAATTGAATGCCGATATACACGATCAAGAAGATCACAAGACAAAGTTACTTCGAAAGCTACTGATGTTTTTTGTCCTTTAATGCATTATTAATTAAAAATGTTAATGTTTTATTAATTTTCCCAATTTTCCCTTTTTTTAACCTTTTTGTTAATAAGCATTTGAAAGAAAGACTGAAAGACTTGATACATCTGTCCAACAGTAGCACTCATTACAGCTCAAAATGCTACCAGTTTGATTCATGGCAGTTCATCGAGCTGGATTGCCTGAAATTATTGTTTTCCTTTAAAAAAAGAAAGAGGTTTTGCGATGTTGAGCAAACATTCAGATTATTAGTAAACTTATTGGATGAGGTTTTTGTGATATCAGGAATTATGGAGGTCAAAGTAGGTGTTATCAGTCGAGCCGAAGGCCGAGGTTGACGACAACTAACTGGTATCTTAGTTTTTTACGAAATCGTAAACAACGATTAGTGTTTATAGTTCGTCAGCTAGGGGAGTTGCATGGCTCACTTAAGGAAAACAAACAAAACTTGTATAATCTTAATCGCTGATTAATAAGCATCACAAAAAATGCATGATGACAAGGATTGAGCGGTAACTTTCACTTTGTAAATTGATCTTTAAATTTGCCCCTCATACCCTCCTCTTGGTCGCCACCTTGGATTTATAAACAAACCTTCGGTTTCCTCTTAACTTGCTATGAAAGGTCGCGCGCGCAGCGGAGCACTATGGGTAAGAAAATTTGGTAACCTATGTATCCGAGAAATTTTGGTAGTCACGTGACCTCACCTCCGCCCGACTACCTGTCCATCCGCACCACAGGCACACCAATATAAACAGGTATGGAAGGACATCGCATGGCCGCCCGAACGTTTAGAGAGACAGAGAAAAAAAAACAAAGTCGTGTCTTTTTCGACGATATCTTTTATGTTTACACTTACGTAGATAACAGCGAAAGACCTAGAGCGAGTTATTGAAGGCAAAGGAGACGAATTTCAATGGAAGAAAAACATGAAAATTTCATAGCGGCGGTGAGAAAATGAGAAATGCTAGCGGCCAGCAAGGTGAAATTGAGTGGCAGTGAAAGAAAAAAAAAAACAGGAAAACAGGAAACAAAATCTCTGGTAAGCATATACGACAATTCCTCCATAAAAACTAGGGGTACCTTCCGGCAAGTGCCAACGAGGCGAATTTGTTTATCTTTCGTGGAATGTGCCTATCCAGATCTTCGTGATTTGTTACATAATTTTAGAGGTTTACATTCGATTCCGCCATAGAAAGGGATGGCACTCAACTTTAAGGAAAAAACTTGGTACATCATCTAGGCTTCCCATTCTATTAAAAAATGACAACATGGCTTGAAGCTCCGTTGGTAAATTGGAGCAAGTCAGCTCTTATCTTTCAGAAGCGGATCTAAGGGGGAGGGTGCAGGGGGTGCGCACCCCCCCCTGAGATGACCTGCGGTTTTCTGATACAACTGGTATTCTGTAAAAATAAAAACTGTGTGGTTTATTGGTGTTGAAGTAGAGCAAGAGACGAGTGCACCCCCTCCTGAAAAAGATCCTGGATCCGCCCCTGTATTTTATGGAAATTCAAAACTACAAACGTTAGAAAGTAAAATATAGTTCAAGTGAGGTCTTTGACCGCTAAAATTCAAAACTAAAATTAAATTCCGAGCTTTCGCCGATCAACGGCATTATCAAGGATAAGATAAATATTCTGCATGATAATATACATATAGAAAAAATTGGTGGAAGCAAAAAGTGTGAAAAGCGCAAGAATGGGGCGGAATACATCAGAGGTATAAAAATATAAACTTTAGTAAAATACAAAGATCTAATGAGCGATTGGCACAGGACAAAGAGTCTATCGAAAGACAAAATGATTCATAATGATGGTCTTTAAGGTGGCTCGACTGGATTTTTTTAGGGGGATACCTCCCAAGTTTGAGCCTTAACTACGTCGGCATGAGTAAAGATATGGAAAAAAGGTTACCACAACAGTATTACATAAAGATGAAAATTTCTTATGATCTGGGTTTTATTGCAATCATAGTCGCCATGGCAACGTAATGACGCCATTTCGTTTTTCATTTATCTTTGTGTTTCTCTGTACCAGGAGTTTTTTAAAGAAATCGCTTAAGGGAGTATGTACCTGCCATAATTGCCTCCATTATGGCAAGGTTTGAAGAAATTCTATGAGAGCGTTTTCGAAATATTTTGAAATGCAGTTTTAAGAATCATAAAAACAGTGAAATAGCATGCTAGCCGCACAATTCGCTAATATTTTAAGAAAATGATAAGCTTTGGGAACGCGGCTTCATCTGATAGTGGATTGATTCCATTGAAAACTGCATACAAAAAAAGAGGGGAATTGCTCTGGGTGATCGCGAGCAAGAAGGATTTTATTAACTTGCATTCAGATGCTTTTGATACAGTTTTTGGAGGTAATTTGGTCCACGCCTAAAAATTTCGCATTTTTCCAAAAACCGCTCGATAAATTTTTTTATAAATTCGACAATCCCGAGATCAATCGTCAAGAAATATTCTCTGCAAGTTTTAAGAACATTGAAAACGGGGAAGGCTTTTAAATAGGGCCTCAAATATAGCCAATTTTCCCCCCAGATTTTGTGTTTACAAGCGAGCGTCCTCATTATTCACTGGCATTGTTTTCAAGTTTCATATACACGTGCACATTTAGCAAAAAGATAGAATTTGCATCAAAAAGGACCCTCGGTTAAAGCTCCGGGATATGCTAATTACCGGGTAAAGAGGTTAGTGATACATTTTTAACATCAGAACAATTCTTTGTGACAGTTTCTGTGATGTTATAACCCGATTAAGATAATTAAGTATTGCTTCCTACACGATGAGCCGTGACGTTCACCGTTTCGGCTCTCATTGCTATCTGTGAGTACAAGCCAATTATTAGCATATACCGGATATTTCTTTGGAAAGTAATTTTTGATGCAAATTTATATCTTTTGCTATTTGTGCACGTGCATATGAAACTTGAAAACAATGCCAGTGAATAATAAGGACGCTCACTTGTAAACACAAAATCTGGGGGGGAAAATCGGTTATGTTTGAGTCCCTATTTAAAAGCCTTCCATGTTTTCAATGTTCTTGAAACTTGCAGGGAATATTTCTTGACGACTGATCTCGGGATTGTCGAATTTATAAAAAAATTTATCGAGCGGTTTTTGGAAAAATGCGAAATTTTTAGGCATGGACCAAATTACCTCCAAAAACTGTATCAAAAGCAGCTGAATGCAAGTTAATAAAATTCTTCTTACTCGCGATCGCCCAGAGCAATTCCCCTCTTTTTTTGTATGCAGTTTTCAATAGAATCAAACCACTATGAGATGAAGCCGCGTTCCCAAAGCTTATCATTTTCTTAAAATATTAGCGAATTGTGCGGCTAGCATGCTATTTCACTGCTTTGATGATTCTTAAAACTGCATTTCGAAATATCTCGAAAACGCTCTCATAGAATTTCTTCAAACTTTGCCATAATGGAGGCAATTATGGCAGGTACATACTCCCTTAAGCGATTTCTTCAAAAAACTCCTGATACAGGGAAACACAACAATAAATGAAAAACGTAATGGCGTCATTACGTTGCCATGGCGACTCCGATTGCAATAAAACCCAAATCATAAAAAATTTTCATCTTTATATAATACAGTTGTGGTAACCTTTTTTCCATATCTTTACTCATGCCGACGTAGTTAATGCTCAAACTTGGGAGGTACCGACCCCAAAAAATCCAGTCGAGCCACCTTAAAACCGCAAATTCGTTGCTGATTCCTCATGGGAGTTTAGGGCTGTCTTCAATGTAAATCGAGCTGCAAAAGGACACGCTGGTTGACAAAAATCTATCCAAAGGCAAAAATAACTCAACTTCTAAAAAACAAAAGGTCCTCAAATGCGTTGCATTCCTCACGGCAGGTGAGGACCGGCTCAATGTAAATCGAACTGTGAAGAACACCGGCGCTGGTTCTGATAAACGTTTTAAATAATACAATCCCGTTCCTTGATTACCTACCGCATTATTTACAAAGGAAAAGATGACACTGAAAATCCTGGTTCTGAGTCGAGAAGCGAACACGCTACCTCAATGTAAATCGAGCTGCGAAGAACAAGCTGGTTCTGACAAAAATTGGAGCGTAAAACCCTATTCCTTAATGAGTTGCTGCTGAAACGCAATTTGTAAAGCGAACCAGAGCACTAATAGCCCTTCAAATCTAGAAGTCGTTTAAAGCTTGCTCACATGTCAGGGCCTCTTGAACTGAAAACGAACAGCTGCACACGGGATCACCCAATTTCGAATCACAAGTTGTAAATACAAGATCAGTGACGCCACTGCCCAAATATGGCCATGGGGTCTTTCTTACACCCAAAGATGGTCAAATATGCAAATTTTAGAGGGTTACGCAGAATTTGAGAGTTTTTGCCTACATTGCGCGGGATTATGAATCTGCCACCGAGGTAACCTCGCTTCTTAGCTCGGTTGTAATGTGTAACTAGGAATTTTGACTGGACGTTTTAGTCGTGCAAAACAACGGCAAGGAAAGACAGAAAAGCGTGCTGCACAATTTTAAATTTATGTCATTAAAAAATTGCTGAGAATGCGAGCGAGTGAAGATTATAATTTATTAATGTTGTGCATTTTGGTCGATCCATAGTCCTAGGATGACCAATCCATTCAAAAAGTTAGTTGAGGATAATTTCGGGATCGATGCGAAAAAAAATAAGGGGTGGCGAATGGTACCTCAAAAAAACGTGGGTCTCGGAAAATTTTGGCAGGATCTCGAAATCTCGGAAGCGTTTTAGATAAGTCTCGAAGTCTCGTTTCTGCATGGTTTGTTTTTACTTTTTTTGACTCTCGAAACTTTTTACCAAAGAGTCGCAGTCTCGGATTTCTAACTAGGATCTCGGCGTCTCAGCGAGTCTCGGATTTTACCATTCGCCACCCCTAAAATAGGGGATCATTTCGGGGTCGGATGCATTTCGGGGGTTGCTACAGATCTTTTGGATCGGATAGTAATCTCGATTTGACGGAATTTGACAGATACTGATACTGTAAAGTGAACTCATTGCGCATCAACTCAAGGACCTTGACCCTTGAGCCTTTTAGCCTTGACCCTGGGCGGACCTAGCCGTCTACCTTAAGGATTTATGTCTGCAACGAAGGCTACACATATTTTGTTGATACTCCAGTCTAAAACCTCTAGTCATTCACAATCATGTTTGTCGAAATTCTCACTCTGCTAACACTTTATTTGGCAATATACATCGCTTCTACGATATGGCAAAACCGCTACCTTCCGCCGGGTCCTTTTCCGTTTCCAGTGCTGGGAAACTTGCTGTCTATTAGCCAAGATCAGCCTTATCGTGATTTCGCGAACATGGCGAAAAAGTACGGAAAACTTTTTCGAATCCAGATGGGCAGTAAGAAAGCGGTCGTCATTAACAGCTATGAAATTGCCAGAGAAGCGCTTTTGACTAAAGCAAAAGACTTCGCAGGGCGGCCGCCGCATTTTTTGGGAAGCATTTTCGGCCGAAACGGCTCCGCCATCGGGTTTGAATCTTTCTCCGAACGATGGAAAATGCAACATAAGATGTTAACTGCAGCTTTGCGCTCAACGGAAGACAAAGCTAATATCTCGTTGCATATCGAAGAACTATGCGGGCTATTTCTTTCCTCGCACGCTAAACCATTTTGCCCACGGGATAACGTTTACAAGTCATTTGGGAACTGTCTGTCTTCCATGATCTTTGGACAAGAATGTAAACTTGATGACCGCGAGGTTGACACTCTAATCGACGCTGTACACGTCTTTCGAATGTCATTCGAATGTCGTTAGGAGCAGCTAATGCAATTGATACGTTTCCCTTTTTAAAATACATTCCTTTTGAGATCATAAAACGAGCAAGGCGTGCAGGAGAAAATAGAGACGAAATTTTCAACAGAAGATTCCGAGAGCATGTCTCAACGTTCAAAAAAGGCAACATTCGGTCTACGATTGACGCTATGTTGAAAGACTTTTGGAGTGATGGTTGCAATTTACTGACGGAAGAGAATTTGATTTCAAGGTGAGGAGGTGCTATTACAACTGTGTTTAAATTGGGCCCGGTTCCTCGAAAGATGCTCAAGAGTTTAACTCAAGGTTAAATCAAATTTTAGTTTTCTTGTCTAGGACTTCTTAACACAAAATGATATTCTCAAACAATCGGAGGGTAATTAAATACCCTCATGGATTAAAATTTTAATCTTCGACAAAGACGATTAACGCAGACTTCTGCTTATCCTTATTCTGGAACCGGGTCTTGGGGTCACAGATATCTACAGAGGGCAAAACATGTTTAAGTTCCTTCAAGGTAAAAAAAAAAAACCAGAACAAAAACAAAAAAAAAAACGGAAAAGTTTATCGGAACAACGGTGTTTTTCGTTTTGCATTATCTGCACTCCTTTTGGGGATATTCAAGTTTCTGTATTATGCAAATTAGGTAAGTTAAGACGTCACCAATCCCCCGAAGAAGGACGGCTTGTCCGTTCGAAGCCTCAAGTCGCTTTTGTCTTTGCTGTTTAATTTTACTACTAATGTGTAATTTTATTCACAAACTCTGTTTTCTCTTTTTTCGTGTGATTGTCGAGGTTGATGAGGGCGCGCTCTTAGTGATAGGGTTCGGTGGCGTTGGAAACGATGGGGGAAGATCTTAATTTTCCCCGCCCCCTAGCTCAGCCATATCACCTCCACCTAGAAATTTGGGGGAGGGACCGAGGGTAGGACTCCCTCGGGTATGCGCCGCTAAACAGGGTATAGTTTTCAGGGTCTTGAGTCTTGAACAGGGTATACAATAGGATGGGGGAGTTTTTTGCACGTACTGGAAGCCCTCAAGAGTGTGAAGGTTGGCGATGAGCCAACACCATGCCCCCTCGGGTAATTTGTACTCTCCCCAGTCTTCCCTCACTATAAGAAACAAGAACGCTTTTGATAGCTTTAAGTCTCACTTGCTTGGAGATTAGATAAGAAATGAGGAAAGGATCAATTCTTCATGAAACACGATTTTCTCGCTAAAAGCGTTTTACTCCCTTCTTTATCGACGGTCGAGTATTCTTCAGCATATTTACTTTCGTATTGGATGATTTGTAAGTACGCTTCTGTAAATACACGAAAATCAAGGGCCTCTATTCAGGAGAAATTATATAAAAAACGTGATGAAGATGGCGCGTCATTTCAATCATCCCCGAAAATACACCGCATGCTCATCACAAGACTCATCAGTGACTCATTTGCATACCGTCAAAGTTTACAACGCCCGACCAGTTAGCCTCACCATCGAAGCTTTGCTCATTAAGATTCTTCTTCTTTTTTTTTTGACCACTGAAGTAATCACTTGTTCCAAAGTAATCAACGCTTTCAAGCGATAGAAATCGTCAACCGATTCTTTCCGGAAAACTGCTCGACATGTTTCGCATCAATATTTCCTAAGCTTTCTATGCATGGCTTTCGTCACGCCGCCAATCTTATCCCCAGGTTCCACGGTCTCCGCTAGGAACACCTGGGACCATAACTCCTTTTTTGGCGCGCACACACGAAAACAAAAGGAAACACACGCTTTCATTTTAAGAGTCTCGCAGCTAAAGCAAGCGAGGCTAATATCGGCGGTTGAGAAGGGCCACATGAATGAGGTGGAAAGGTAAAGCCTAAACAAGATAATTTAGCGTCTCCTTCTTCTCCTTCCTCACAAATTGATGTCACGCATCAATTATAATCGCAAAATACACGGGCTTTGGCGTGAATGCAGGCAGGAGACTGACCAGACCCCTGCTATCTACGGGGAAAACCCAGAGACGTCAGTGAATCATATACGCCTATTTCAATAAAGTTTGCTATTCTCGTGAAACATGATGCATGATCCATGATCCATGTTTCATGACATGCGGTGCATTATGTGAGCAAGCTCAGTTTGTCATATGCCCGCGCCGTACGCGGAAGACTTCCGTTAGAGTGCGATTTGGTTTCCACATTTTTGTGGGTATTAAGCAGAAGAAGCCTGTTTTCATCTTGGAATATCCAAATGGACTCAAAGGCGCTACTTCCTTAGTTAAGTTTGTTTCGGGTGATGTGGACGCAAAGAAGATGGGATGACCTTCTTGAAGCGTACCTTGAACCCGACGACGGCGAGGCAACAAGAACGTCACAAAAACTATAGGTTTAACAAAGCAAAACAACCATTCTTCACGTGCAGCAGCCTTTTTTTTGTACATTTCATTACCATCACCGCACGACTACGACGTGAAAATGCCTTATTTCACGTTTTATAGAGGACGTAAACAAGAGACGACGAAATTTTCTTTCTCTTTTCTAACCTGAATAAGGTTCTTAGGAATTTAGCTCTTAGGAGAGTTCGCCTACATTGACAAACGAAGTTAGTTGGAATAATCGCGATGGAGGTTAAAGAATCGAAGGCGAATTCACTTTTTATGCAGCGTTTTCGCCCCCGTCCTTAGATCTTAATCAAGGTCCCTATTTTAAATTAGGCTTGTGTAACGCTGAAAAGTAAATAACTTTACATTACGAGTTTGTTAAGTATTTTTAAGGATGAAAGATTGAAAAAAAGGGGGTAAAAAAAGGAGGAATGTAGAAGCCTATTTCAAGGCTGTCCACGTTGGCGGCTCTTAATTTCTTTGTTACAATGAAATTCTTCAGCTCACTTGCACTTGAGAATTTCGTCCCCTGTTTGAGCTGAAAACTCTCTTTCACTGCCTTCTTATTGTTTGTTAGTACTTTCAACAAATGTTGTGTGTATTATTATTATCAGTTGCCGAGCACAGGCGTGCACAAACTTCCTGCTTACAAAAAGATCTACCACAATACACCGCAGGCTACGAAACGTGGATCATGAATCATGCATCACGTTTCACGGGAGCAACCTTAATTGAAATCAGTGTATATTTCAGTAATAAATGCAGGTCGACTACAATTTCCCTTTTTTTCCCTCTAGCGCCTCGGAGCTGTTTATAGCTGGTACAGGAACGCTCTCAGTTGTGCTCCTTTGGAGCCTTTATTACGTCACCAAACACCCAGATGTACAGGCCAGGTTACATTGCGAGCTAGATGAATTCATTGGCAAAAATGCACGACTTCCAGAGTTCTCAGATCGGCCCAACTTACCATATTTCGAAGCGTTTACTGCTGAACTACATCGTTCTGCAAGTGACAATCCTTTGGCGCTTCCTCATTCGACAACACGGGATACATCCCTTGCGGGATTCTTTATCCCTCGGGATACCACAGTGTTTGTTAATCTCTGGGGAATTCACCACGATCCTGATTACTGGCGGGAGCCATTTAGTTTTCGGCCGGACCGATTCTTGGATGAACAGGGACGACTGCATGTGGAGGGAATCATGCCTTTCTCGACAGGAATACGTTCGTGTCTCGGGGAAAAGTTTGCCAAAAGAGTGGTTTTCTTGTTCGTCGCGCGATTGCTGCACAAATTTAGATTTGAGTGTCCGCATGGTGAAATCCTGCCCGAAGAGGAAGACATAAGTGATTACGGGATTTTACTTGATTGTAAGCCGTTTAGGATAAAAGCAATAGAAAGAAGAGTTAATAGTTAATTGATTACATCGCTTGCTGTGCTGACAGGAATCTATTATAGATTATAGAGTGTTTTCACTCACGTGGCCAGCATCTATGTAAAATTTATTGGAACAACAGAAAGCGTTTGCATGAGAAAAGAGTTGAACTCCCAGAGGATTGGTTTGGGACACCAACATGGCCGCCGTTTCATTGTTTTGGGACACCAATATGGCTGCCGTGACGTCATGTGAAAACATTCTATATTCTTTGAACACAGCTTCATAAAAAGCAGGGTTTTGAAATTTTTTTTTTTTTAGCATTTTGTACTTTTTATATTGTAGTTCATGGAAGAGAGCTAAATAGCTAGCTATCATCTTAATACTGATGGAAATACCGCAGGGTGTCCAGCGGCATGGTTGCTCAAAAAAATAGGAAAATAGGAAACTCAGGATTGAGAAAATAGGAAAAATAGGAATCTTTATTAAAAAATAGGAGAAAAATAGCAAAATCAATAGTACTCTCGTGCACAAAGATATAGCCTCCCTGCACCTCATCAGGATTACAATAAAGGCTACGAGTCCTCAGCTTCTACATTCATACGATTTAGATCAACTTTCACGGCTTAAAAGGAGTGAAAATGATCAGTAACGTTTAGTTTATTGGCTCAGTTACGCTGTAATCAGAATGATATGCTTGACTACAGGTAGAGCGTGGTTCAATAATCAAAGGTGATCATATGCAAATTCCCTTCAAGTTGGCAGCCAATCTTTGAAAAGCTTCGAAGAGTGAAATTTCTTAGGATAGAAAATTCTTACGATTGCGTTGTCATTGAAGGATACAGAACTAGGACTAAACTTTATATCTCTAGAAAAGAGATCTAATCAGCCAAAACTTTAAGAACCAAACACGAGAAGTCCAAAGACTACTGCACAAAGCTGATTCAGAAAAACGTGTATTGTGTTTTCATAACAATATTTTGGCTCAAAAAATATATAAATAAAAAAATTAATTAAAAAAAAATAAAAAATATAATAATAATAATAATAATAATAATAATAATAATAATAATAATAATAATAATAATAATAAATAAGGCTATTGAGCGGATTCAGAAGTCGGTCATCTCAAACACTTTAAACATTGCCAGAACATTTAAGATAAATACTTAATTAGGGCGCTAAGGACTCCAGTTTTTAGGTCTTTTTCCTCTAGAAATCTAGAAACACAAGTTTGCTGATGTTTTTACTTAGATTTTTTAGAGTATTAGAGTTTGATATTATTCTGAATAAGCTTTTAGTAGAGATAACCACATTATGATGGCCTCGTTTAGGTATATAAGAGATAATGAGAGTATAAAAACTGAATAATTTTCTAAATAGGCTTCTGGTAGAGATAATTATATCATCATGTATTTGCGTATGTTTTACAGAGTATAAGAATTTAATAATATTCTAAATTGGGTTTTTAAGTAGAAAGATTCATATCATTATGAATATCACGATCGTATTAGGTTTCGTACCGACCTTTTTTTACTTCTAAGTATAGCTTCTCAAGTGGTGTAGGTTACGTTATGCGCCCTATACTACTCATAGGGCCTGTTTACATGGAGGTAGGGGACCCCAGGTAGGTGAGGTAAAATATGGCGGGTCACCCCACCTATCATGTAAACGTGATCAAATTAAAATGAGAGATTATATGGACAAACAGGTTACCCCGCCTAAGCCGCTAAAGAGGGTTACCTCACCTACCTGGGGTTCCCCACCTCCATGTAAACAGGCCCATAGTGTGGACAGCATTCCAAAGTTTTATACTGCGACATGATAATAATAATAAATAAGAGTGAAGAACAAGAATAGGACAGATTGGGGAGAGATCATAGGTTCGAGACATCGCGCGCACGCGCTCACAACTGCGCGTAACACGCGAGTTGTCATGCCAAAAGGAAAACCACAGGTAACCCAGGCTCTGTGATAGTACAACAGTACGGTTCCAGTAAAATTACAGTGTTTGTATTGGGTAAAAATACCATCCTTAAAATTTCTAGGAAGTACTAAATAAAGATCAATGAAACTTACTCTGCAGTTAATTGTTGTTGTCCTTATTGCTCCAACGAAGTTTCGTGATAATTTGTAGTAATTTGTTCAAATTCACTCTATATACAATAATAATATACAAGGTAGGAGACACGAGATGCCATTTTCGCCGACATGCTCTCATTCAACACAACTTTTTCCACGAAATTCGAATTCCAGCGGAAAATAAACATGCCAGGATCGTAGAAATAGGATAGTAGCAGGAAAAGTAAAAAAAAAAAAATTCCAGAATCACTTGTAAAGAAGCAAGTACTTTCATTTACAAGCACACGATCTTGTCTTCTTAACAACAATTGTCTCAAATTATCATCGATACTTCGTTTTTGCAGCCTTTTTTGACATTTGATAGTCCTGTTAATATACATTTTTTTATGTCTGATTATATCTTGCAGACTAAACGTGAGATTTAATATGTAATCATGTGTTCATTCTTCTTTTTTTTTTTGCCCGATCGACCGACCCACCTTCACGAGAGGAAGGGCGATGGGAAACGAAACATTTTATTGGGATGGCCTAAGTAAAATTTAGCTTGAAAGTAGGCTCACTTGTGCAAATTCAGCGGAAACTTTCCCAAAAATCGCAGTTAAGTGAGCCTGACTAAGAAAAATTTAAGGGAGCCCTGCGGGGCCCTAACCCTGTGACATCCAGGGTGCCCCAGCATATAATTTCTTGAAAAAACTAAGATTTTCTACTCGCCTGGGAGAAAAGGTTAGGTACCATGGGCATTGAATAGAAGCAAGGCTCATGGTGACCTTGTTTTGTTACAAACTATGCTCCGTCGTCGTGCAAGTCGTGTTACGTGTATTAATGCATGGCAATAGTAGATTTATTTCCTAGTCGATGTACTGAGTCTTCCCAGGCTTTCTTAGTCAATGCATTTTGGTGCCATATTTAAAACAAAAGGGACCATGTTACCTGAAATACATAGCCCATATGGACGCAGAATGAGGCCTTAAGTAATCTGCCATTTCTCTCCCCTCTATTATTACGTCTGTGTTGTGCTGCATACTTGTCTTGTGACCGCTAACTCCTTGCATTTTATTATCATTAAGTGAATTGAGTGACACATTGAGTAAGGTGTTGATCCTTGAATATTGTTCCATGTACCAATCATCGCATGTGAATAGGAATCTGAATGATAAAAGTGAAACCACAGGTATCCCAATCTCATGAGTGAGAACTGCAAATGTAAATAATCAGAACCGTTTCTGTTATTATGTACAAAAGGGTCAGGTTTTAGAGAGAATCTTGTGTCTGTAATAGTTTCCACATTTCTTATTTTTATGTTTGTTGATCAGTTGTTACTCGTGGGTGTGTTTTCTCAGCTGTACTATTTAACTTATGCCAAAAAAAATAACAATGTCGGACATATATACCGTTATAAATCATTAAAATCATGAAAAATCGATAACATCGATTTGACACCGCAATTTAGTTTATCGATTTTCACCGATTTCCGTTATCAATCGATAAAAATCACTTGATTGCTATCGATTTTTATCGATTGACTGCTCCGGGTATGATTTGCGAGTAATGCCATGTTTAAGAGAGCCTTTCTCTAACCTCCTGGACGTGACGTGAAAAAGTGTTCTCTTAGGGAATCTTAAGTCTGGACGTCCTTGGTGACGCATGTGACTGGGTCACAGACCAGTATTTTCAAGCGATAAATGTGCTGAAAGGTGACTCTCTAATAAAGAGTGACATCGACACTATTTCTGACTATTACTATGACTATGACTATTTCGTGACATCGACACCTTCCATACCTTAGTCTACCTTAAGGATTTATGTCTGCAACGAAGCCTACACAGATTTTGTTGATACTCCAGTCTGCAACCTCCAGTCATTCACAATCATGTTTGTCGAAATTCTCACTCTGCTAGCACTTTATTTGGCAGTATATATCGCTTCTACGATATGGCAAAACCGCCATCTTCCACCGGGTCCTTTTCCTTTTCCAGTGCTGGGAAACTTGCTGTCGATTAGCCAAGATCAGCCTTATCGTGATTTCGCGAACATGGCGAAAAAGTACGGAAAACTTTTTCGAATCCAGATGGGCAGTAAGAAAGCGGTCGTCATTAACAGCTACGAAATTGCCAGAGAAGCGCTTTTGACTAAAGCAAAAGACTTCTCTGCGCGGCCGCCGCATTTTTTGGGAAGCATTTTCGGCCGAAACGGCTCCGGCATCGCGTTTGATACTTTCTCCGAGCGATGGAAAATACAACAGAAGATGTTAACTGCAGCTTTGCGCTCAACGGAAGACAAAGCTAACATGTCGTTGCATATCGAAGAACTATGCCAGCAATTTCTTTCATCGCACGCTGAACCATTTTGTCCAAGGGATAACGTTTACAAGTCATTTGGGAACTGTCTGTCTTCCATGATCTTTGGACAAGAATGTAAACTTGATGACCGCGAGGTTGACACTCTAATCGACGCTGTACACGTCTTTCGAATGTCGTTAGGAGCAGCTAATGCAATTGATACGTTTCCCTTTTTAAAATACATTCCTTTTGAGATCATAAAACGAGCAAGGCGTGCAGGAGAAAATAGAGACGAAATTTTCAACAGAAGATTCCGACAGCATGTCTCAACGTTC